CAAAATGTTTTGTTTCTTTAATTGCAGTGTCTATTCTTGATTTTCGTTCTCTTAGATTTGTTGTTCGCGACTTTGTTTACGATGAGCATTCTCTTAAACTTGGTCGTACAGAGCGAGACAAGTTGGCGCAGGAGAAGCAGAGACAGTATGCTTCATTAGTACGTTGGTTGAAAGTGAACTTCGGTGAAATTTTTGTGGCATACGTTCACGTTAAGGCACTCAAAGTTTTTGTAGAAAGCGTATTGAGGTATGGTTTATAATCGAGCTACTGTCGTAATGTTCCAAAATATTGTATTTTATCATATACTCTAGAGCTTTCTGGTTTCGCATAAAGTTCTGGATATTATGGTTCATCTTTGCTTTAAAATGGATTTGAAATTCAAGTGGTTTCCAACATCAATTTAGGTATGGATTGCCTGTTAATTTCCAAGCTGCCGTTGTGGAGCCGTCGAAAAACACCTGGAAGAAGCTACGTGCTGAATTACATAAACTGTATGTTCACTTAGATGCATCTGCTGCTGGCCCGATTGAGGTTGGTACATTTATTTAATTTTTTAGAGTCCATTTCTACCTTACAACTGCTTGCGCATATCACCATAAATAAGCCTCTTTAAAAACGGTTGGTTTAGTCAGCGCATTAAGTCAAATATTTTTATGACATTGTTTTAGACTTTTGAAGACAGTCCTGCTCTGATGTCTTTGGGTGTTCACGACTACTATCCGTACGTGTTTTTCAAAATGAATATAAATTTTGTCGAAGCTAAGCGCTGATTGTTATACTTATGGGTTACAGACTTGTGCTTCATTGACAGTAAATAGACTTATCCTTTGTACTTAACTTATTTCTGAGACTAAAACTGATGTGAAAAAACTTCCTAGTCTGAGTTGCGGCTATGCTTGCTAGAATTGCCTAATGCTGTAAGATATATTTTGTAACCTCTCGTGTGTTTGTTTGCGTAAATTGTTGGAAAAAGTGGTTATTTGTTTTACAGTCTTGTATTTTTTTTTATTTAAACTTTTGCAGTTTGAGGTTCTGCGGGGGCAAATTGCATGTAATATTTCCATTTTTCATGAAAATTTTAGGTCAGCTAAACAGAAATGCTTTTAATTCACGTACCCCTTGAGCCTCGTTGAATATCAACATTATGTAAAATTTCAAGATTTTGGCGTGACATTCCGTAAAACGTCAGCTCTTTCGTTGGTGTTTGTAACGATAGTGTGTAGTTCTGAAATAGTTAGTTTATATTCATGGTTTCCTGTGTCTGTTTGAGAAATTATTGAAGATGATAAATCTTCCATCAGAAATTTTGCTATATAACTTTTATGGACTCGTGTGATTTTGATCGCCATTTATCTTACAAACGTAAGTGGCTATCAGCTGCTTTTGCTACGTGTAAAGTGTTTTGCCAAGTTGGGCTATCTTGTGACAATTTTTTTATTTACTGGTTTGATTTTGCGAGAGATACTGAGAGGATTTGGCAGTTGTTGCTCATGGTAATGACGGTTGGATGGTGAATAAAGTGGCTGCTGCATTCATACTGTACTGGAAGTTGCTGCTCAGGTAAAGGTCGGTGGGAGGATCACCGTGTAGTGGTTAATTCGATACTGGGTTGTGCTTAAGTCAGTTTTGTTTGTTTGGTGAACTAGTGGCTCTCGTGTGTGCACATGTTTTTTTCTCGTCGTTAGGCGAATAAACTCAAAAAAAAAAACTGATTTTTAGGAGTGAGTTGCACACAAGCATAAACTCTCTTTTATTGAGTGACATGAACCTACAAGCCAGATTTTTTTTTGACTCCGGGAGGCTGCTGTTTTTTCAGTCACGGTACTGATTGTGCACCGTCCTCTATTTTCTCTTTGCTAGCGTGTAACGGTTAAACCTGTGGTCTTGAAATCCAAAATGCGGCTTTAATTTAGCTGAAGCCAGAAAAATTGTTCAGATGTTAATGGTTTATTTTGAGAGTAGGCTTATCGCTTTGCGTGGAAGTTCTAGGTTCTTTTTTTGGAATGCTGCTGCAGTATTCGTATTTATGCAGGAAAAATGCTACTTAGCTGCACGAGCAGCTTCTTGCGTCGGCCGGGAATCGAACCCGGGCCGCCCGCGTGGCA